GCAGCTTGGCGCACTCCACCCGCGACCTCAACCAGCTTGTTGCCCGCCCGTAGCACGGCTGCCCAACCCATAGGAGTGTTGTCAAAGTCCTGTTCAATCGCCTTGACATACTCCTCCGCTGCCTGCCGTGCTGCTGTAGTTGGTGCTTGGTAGGCCGAACCGGGGCCATCACGTGCCTCGCTCCCGGCGTAGGCCGTCGGGCCTGACTCCACTTGGACACTCACCTCGGGCTCCGGTCCGTCATCTTCTCCCGGGTCAGGTCCCTCATCTTCGTCTTCGCCCCACTCCCAGTCGTCCTCACACGGGATCGCCTCGTCGTCGACAACCGGCATCTCCTGGATGGTGAAGATGGTTACGCCCGTCCACTTGCCATAGCCTGGATCAGCCCCTCCGGCAGCCCGCCAATCATCCGTGATGACAACCTGGTTCGCCCCTTCTCGCAGATGGGTGACCCTCTCGTTGGTTAGGTGGGCAAGCGGTGTACGGAGACCAATCTCCGACGGGACGTAAAGGGTCGTCCGGGGTTCATCATGAACTCTCCACAGTTGCCTGCGGGACGGGTTGTACTGCCACCTTTGAGGCGAGCCCCAGTGGTCGCCCGGTCCGGTTGGGCTGGTGCGGTGAAAGTCCACACTGGTGGAAGGGCCCATTGGATCCCCCCAGACTCCTTGCAGGGTCTCCCCTTCTCCTTGGTCAGGATCTCCTGGGGCTGGCCCAGCGCCTCGAGAGGAGGTGCCTTTGCCCTTTCCTTTCTCACATGCCAAGCGATATCGCTCCGCCCTCGACAGGCCATACGGGTATTCCACCCTGGTGGACTTCCTCCCGCCTCCCTCGACATCTGAGTTGGGCTCCGAAGTGGATGAGGACGAACTTCCTCCTCTAGCGAAGCTGAGCCAGCCGCCCTTGCCCTTTCCCCCGCCTGTTCTGGAACTCCCTCGTGGGGATCTTTCCCGGGCTCCAGCTGGAGCGGATGAGCTTCTCATTGGTCTCCACGGCATAGGGATCACCCGGTCCTTTGCTGAGATCACGGCCCTTGGTTGCCGTGTCGGATTGGGAACCCCCCCTTCAGGGAACCCGAGCACCTCCAGTAGCCCGTCTCCATGGCGGCTCGCCGAGTGGTTCGCGAAGCCCATCGATTCCAACAAGCCATCCCCTTTGCCATCTCCATCGGGTTGATCGTTTCGTTGGACGCCTCCGCCATCTCCGTCATGTCCTTCGTCATCGTCTCCAGGTAGGTCTCCAGGTAGGTCATCCTCACCGTCTCCGCCAGCCTCGTCACGGTCACCAGGTAGTAGGGCACCTCCATCTTCTCCATCGTCTCCGCCTCGATCCCGAAGACCGCCTGCTCGGTGACCATCTTGTGGCGGCAAAGCCAGACCCCCCCCCCAACGAAGCTTGGAGCACCGCCACCACGACTGACACAAAGTTCTGGGCGTACACCCCGGCTTCAGTACAGCGAGTGACGGTTTGGCCGTCGCGACAACCCTTCAGCCCAATGTGCCGGTGCGAGGTCGACAGGCCCGGACAGACTCGACGGAGCGCTCGCCGTAACGGTGGATGCAGTGGGAAGACCACCCTGGTCTTGTGCACATAGAAATGATCTGGCTCATCAGGGGGGCCAAGACCAAAGGCGCACATGGGCAGGTCAACGTACTCTACGTCCGGCCGGTTGAGGATGCGCTTCCAGCACGGCAGGTCCCATTGCTTGGGGTACCGTCCACTGACCCCACTGGACTCGACGAGAGGGAAGGCACCAGAATCCAACGAAGCCTCGAAGAGCTCAGCAGCGTGCGAACTCAAAATGTTGCCCATTGCCTCAGTCGCTGCTAACGGTCCCTGTCCAGTGCCTTCGGGACACTCGAAGGTGCGAGTCCCGCCATTCTTCTGCTGCCAGTCACAGTAGCTCGTGCATGGGGCTGCAATCCAATGCACATTGGAAGGCCCGGTACGCACCTCTGCCAGAAATTTGTCGTGGACATCCTTTCGACTCAAGTCAAAGTGTGCCCTGTAGCCCTGCTTGTCATGGGGATGCTCGTAGACCTCGACCGGCTCCATGATCGGGCTCGTCTTGCTCCACTCCGCCGAAATGCCACCTTTCCCGGCAAAGAACTCCCTTAGCACCAGCTGCCCCGGTTCATGCGGCTGGCCTGCACTCCGAACCGCCCGAATCACATTGTGGTCATGGTGGATGTCCATGGTGCCTCCGGCGGTGGCGGCTGTGTAGGACAAGCAGCTATGCCTTGGTGCGTTGAGCGACTCCCCAGCTTTGCGGCCTGCTTTGCACAACCTGCAGAAAATCTTGCCTGGTGCTGTGGGAGGTTGATCATGGCGGGCATGCCAAAAGAACGTAAACCCCATCGCAGGTGTGGTCTGGGGGTCCTCTCTGGCTAGGAAGCGCTCCAGGTCGTAGCCGTCCGGCGGTTCCAAAAGGACCATGTGCCCCTTCCAAATCAGTGCAAAGGTCGTCCAACCCCCATCTATCCAGTTGGACCCAATGATGCACTCCACGACCAAGCCTCCTCGGTAGTCCGCCCTAAAAACCACCAATCGGCAGTCCGCAAGGGCTTCCAAAGGGAAGACCGCCAACGAGCGAAAGTCCTTCTCGTGGTGAGCTGTAGTGAGGTCATGGATGTAGGTCCTGACTTCGTGTTCCACAGCTGCAACCATCTCCTCCGCCTCGCCGATGGTGTTGGCCGCGTCCACTGCTAGCCGAGTCTGCTCCAACCTCAGGCTTTGTGCTCTGGTCTGAACCTGCTCCACTGACGGCCGTCGGCTCTTCTCCTTCCACTCAACCATAGCCGCAATGGTGATGGTCACGCACTGCCGCCGCTCGATGGACACCTCCGGTAGGTGAAGAAGTGCCGCCAGGTCCTCCGTCATCATGACGTCCTCCTGATAGTCCCACAGCCGCCAGGTGGTGCCGTCGAGCTCGACGCTTCCTTGCCCTGGTTGCCCCTCTGCCCACAGGGTGTCTCGAACCACCAGTCGAGCCGAGCCTGCTTTAGTTCCTTCCCGTTGCTCCAATAGTTCAGCCGCTTCCCGTGCAAGCTCTCCCATCCCGTAGGTCGCCATTTCCTGAAGAAGTGAAGAGAGTTCGACTCCGGGTTCCCTGGCAACTCTAGCGGCGGCCCATGCATACAAGTCATCAGTGGCTCCCTCCAGTGCCTGGAGAGCAGGGGACTTTCCTAGCTCCTGGGCTTTCTGGACCAGGTGCTTTGCCTCCTGTGGTGCCGAAGTCCCATCCCGACCACGATGAGGTGGAAGATCACGATGAACATCTCGATGCCATGCATAGTCCGGCCCTTGAATCACATCCTTGAGGTCCTCGCCCTTGGTGTAGTCGACTTCGAACTCCTCGGGGACGTCCCAAAATCGCACCTTTGGCCCTTCTCCTCCAGCTCGGCCATCTTCCGTTACCTCCTGCTCTCCAGATTCTGTCCCGACAGCTGCAGGGGTGCTCCCAGCTTTCGCTCGCTTCTTTCCGTCCTGGATCTTGTCGGTCTTCTCGACCCGCATCTTGGACCGGATGTCTTTGATCTTGGTGGTCACGGTATCCGGGCTCTCGAGCTTCATCCGTTTCAATCCACCTCTTTTTAGGAGTTGCATTTGCACACACGGGTCCAGATTCTCGAAAGAGCCGCGAAGTCCTTCATGGGAGCGCTGACAACCTGTCGTCTGGCAGCCAGTGGCACAGGTTTCCCCAGCAAAGCAACTTGCCGTGGCGGTCCAAAGGGGCCCGATCTTTGGCCATTCCGACCTCCTCCGGAGTCAGCTTGGGCCCCCACAGCGACTTGAGAGTGGGCTTGGACTGCGAACTCAAGCTTCCTGCACTCTCCCCTGCTCCTCCAGCTGGTGCTGCTGGGTTGCGATCCTTCCGGGCACCGCCCTGCCAAGTGAGATTCCATAAGAGGCGGTCTTGCTTCCTCTCGATCCTTGGGAGGACCTCGGTCTGGAACCATGAGTCGGGCTTCTCAATGTCGAAGGTCGTGGGCATCACCAGCCATGCCTGTCCATCTGGTCCGGGAAGTAGCGCATGGAACTTGAGCTCGGTAAGGCTGATCGTTTCCCTGCCGATCTCCTTCTTGAGGCTCCGAAGCACGTCCTTGAGCTCCTCCAGAAATCGCCAGTGAATCTCCTCCCAGATGTCAATGACTATGGCCAGCGGCCACCTGTGAGGATGGGACAGATGCCACTCCGACGAGGTTGAGGGCGTTGTTCCGTACGGCTCTCCATTCCTCCCCATAAACCAGGCACCACACATCTGTCTGGCGTCGTACTCGGGCGGTCCACTCATCAAACCTGGACGGAGGAGGAGGTCTTTGGTCGGTGTTCTTCATCACCTTAGCCTCAGAAGCAAACTGGTCGAGCTCAGCGTCCGTGTAGGAAAGGAAGTCCGCGGCGCTCAGGCCATACTTCTCCTGAATGCCCCAGTACGGCCCTGCAATTCCCACTGCCAGCCGTGTTGACATCCGTTGGCGGAAGCCTGCTGCTCGAAGCTTGGTCGAGGCTCCTACCTGAGCGGACAGCAATGAGTTTGCTAGTGCCTGACCGTGCTCTTCCGCACCAACACGCACTTGATACTGGCCACACGCCCGAAGCAAGAAGACCAGTTCTTCTGATTGTTTGTTGAGCCCCCGGATTGTACCGGGGACCTGACCTCCTGCTCCTTCGGTTTGTTGGCGAACCAAAGAAGCCAATTCTGCTGTTTGATGCTGGATCGCTTTGGCAATTTGGACAACGGGTTCTGCAGTGGTTCCATTGTCGGTCCTGGCTCCTGCCCTGGTGTCAGGGCGATAGATCCCGGGGGGTGCCACTCGTAGCCCGTCACCTCGCTTCTCTTCCACCTGAGGCATCTGCTGACCCCGTTCTGCCAAACCAGGTGGGGGTGCAGGCTCAGACGTAGGTCTCGTCCTGGATGCCGAGGTCCTCAAAGACGAAGCTAAAGGCAGAGATGTAGCTCTATCCCCATCCTTCTCGGGAGTATCCCCAGGAGACGCGGCTTGACTGCCACCTTCCACCATACTCCAGTCGCTACATCCCTCCCCTTCTCCATGAGGCCTTCCCAACTTAGCCAGCTCCTTCCGCCACGTGGTCAAGAAACGTGACAGCCCTCTCTGCCCTTGCGCCTGCTCATTCTCCGCCTCCCCAACCAGTTGTCGAAGAAGATCACCGGGTAGTAGCAGGCGGTCAGCTCCCAGCTTTCTGCGTGCTTGGTCTTCACGGAGCCCCTCAGCCTTTCCGGCCGCAAAGATCTCAAAGAACTCTTCCAGCAAGCTGCCGGCACCTTCTGAACCTGGCGACTCGAGCATCCCCATGCGGGATAGATTTCGACTGATGCTTGATCCTTTCGGAGTATGTCCAGGTGAGCGCGTTGTTCCCCTCCGACGTGGCGTTCTCTCTTTGATCTCGGGCTCCTCCCATTCACGAGCCCTTCCCAACAGCTTTCTCGCACGACCATGCCTATCCTCGTCACCATGCGCCTCCTCGTTGTCGACCCCGTTCTCCTCATCGTCGTTCTCCCCCTCGTCGATGTCCTCCACCGCTCGTGTACGTGACCTCGATCTGGATCGGCGCGCTGAGGTAGAAGAGGGTCTCGTCGGTGTCAGGCTTGAAGGTTCATGTTCTGAGCACCACACCACACCATGCTGCAGCTTGTTGCCAAACCTTTTGCAAAAGGTCACACTGCACTTGTCGGGATACCGTCGGGTCAGGTATTGGGTAGCATGATCCCCGCACAATGCAACAGCCCCGCACTGAGTGGGGACATCATCCTGGAGGAGCTGCCCAAAATGTTGAGCACGCACACTGCACGGCCGATTGGCCAGGCACTGCATAGTTCCATCAGGGCCCCGCCATGTGACCAGACTGCCGCAGCAAATAAGGTGCTCCTCCTCTTGCTCCGATTCGGAACCCAACTCCCGAAGGCGATGCATCAACTGTGAGGTGCCTTCGGTCAATGGGGACCCTTTCAACCAGGCCCAGAAGTCGTGGGTCACCTTGCGCGCACCCTCACGAGCTTGGGCCATCTGGAATCTTTCCGGGTCATTCTTTCGAACTAACCCGTACATGACAAAGTGCTCCCCACCCTCCTCGGTGCAAGCCTCATTTCGGCATAAGTGCACCTTCTCGACGTCCCGCAGCCGCCTCACCAAAGCCGGAGATCCGCGGATCGTGTTGCACTCCACAGGGACATAGAGGCCGTGGGTCTTGATGGACTGGGAGTCCATGCCGATGGCGAAGACAGCAGCATCTTCCCCTCTCTTCACCACCATGTACTTGGGCTGCTCACCGGACCTCTTGAATGCCCGAAGCTGGGAGGTTTCTGGTGTCCGTCCAGTGGCAGGGCCCAAGAACTCTGCTTCAGAGGCTTCTGGAGAGCCTCCTGTAACTCTTTGAAACCAGAACGCAAAGGCCCCAACTCCTCGTAGGACTTTGCGAAGTAGCCATGCCATCGCCATGCAGGCCCCGATCAGGAGCGACACAATTAATGGGGTAGCGCACGGCCCACACATAGTGAGCGACCAAACAGAGCCCCAGCACCACCAGAACCTGGAGAAGCCGGCGGCATCCGGTCCGAACCTTAGTCCAGGCGCTGCCGAAGAGTGCCCACCCGATCATGCCGAAGAGGGTGTCCACGACCATCCACAGCGCCACATCCCAGCTTCCCCAGGTCGAGGCTCCTTCCAACTCCCGACCCCAGCTCGCCAGGCCGGCAAGCCACCCTTCAGTGGCATTGAGCCTTCGCTCAGCACCCGGGAGCCACTCCCGAAGATGCTGCCGCCAACCAGCCTGCTCCTCCAAGGGCTCCACCTCCGGTGGCCCCTCAGGGCCAGCCCACCAACCATGGCTTACGGCTGTGGTCGAGATGACCACCAGCCTGAGCCACCACATGTGGCCGTGCCGACCCAAAAGGCTCAGAAACCTTCGGGCCAAAAGGACTTGGTCGTGCAAGACCTTCACAAAAGTAACGGTTATTTCTAACCTCCAAAGAGTGAGACGCGTGAGTCAGGCACATCCAACCCCTCCGGATTCGGGGTCCTGGCTGTGGGTCACCGGTACGGGACCTTGGGTCAAAACCGGCAAATGAACAGACTATACCAGGGTGAAACGTGCTCCAGGGTTTTTAAGCCACTGTCATATTGGATATGTCATAAATAGGGCGGACGTGGACCCATAGACGCGAACCGCGATGCGGCGTCGCAGCAATGGTGTGTGGTCAGTGCACTGACAAATGGCAGCACGTGTGGATGTTGTTTTGAATGTGACATCATGCTCTTTCAGCTTTTGTTGCTTCTGCTTTGTTTGTGCTGGTCATCTCGTCAAGTGCTAAGCGGCCCATCCCAGATCAGTCAAAGCACATTGCCCATTGACGCTTTTGGTAGACGCAAATCCGCATTGACCACCCGGGCGCTGCTTCTCATCTCAGAGGAACTCGTGCAGGACGAGGACGTTTTCGGGCGTTACCAAACCTTCAGCCACAAAGCAGAAGCCGTGCCCCCCCGCGGCGATGGAAGAACTGGTCTTATGGGCACGGCGGGGGTGGTCGATGGTGTTTGTGTGTGGATGTGTGTTGGCTGAATGAATGTGATTCGGGATTGGGTCGTTTTGGAAGGTTGCGACGCTGCGACGGCTTAAAGACGTCCTTGGACTGACATAAGCAACATGAGCGCATCGATGTGCAGCGCGTGGCCGGGAGTTTGATCTCTCGCTCAAGTGCTAGGGCGGGGTGGGGGCAAAGCACCTGCAATATTGGCACGTGCAGTTGCAACGAAAGTTGGTGAAGCAACATGCCTTGGGAGCTGGCAAAGAATCAAGGCCAGGTGTATGGCTTAGCCACCACTTGGCTTGAAGCAGCCAAGCCCGTGGACGCTTTGGCACTTTAGCCGAGGCTTCGGCTTCGCCCATTTCAGCGGCTATGGCGACTTTCTGCGCCTTGGGCTTTGGGTTTTGTAAAGGGAGCAGGGAAATCACAGGAAGTCAGTGGCACAGTGGTAATGCTCCTGCAAGTTTGAGCACGTGTTTCTGTTATTCTGATCCCCCGAACATGTCAGATAGTGCACAGATTAGTCTACGAACACTTGTGGGCCCGGTTGAAAAAGAGTCCCGGATGACCACAGATGGACTGAACGTGAAAAAGCATGAAAAGACACCTCGGTGCGTCGGTTTGGACATATCTGTTTGAACCAAAAAGTGGAACACCCTGGGAGAGTCTCATGGTCTCCAGCCCCCGAAACCATTTATGGGCCGTTGTAGCTTGCAATAAACAACTGGGTCACGACAGGTGGGCAGAGAAACCCGTATATATCGCACCATTGCATACAGCCAAAGCTGCAATTTCTTCAGGAAGTCTCTCCGTGGTCAGGGCGCTAGCCGGCGGTTGAGTACAGTGAGGACAGTCTGGATTGTTTGCTGCCAGAATGTTCATTGTGACCAGTGGTGGATGTTTTCATGGCATGGTTCATTTCGCACTTCTTCGGGTCAACTAATAAGTGTGAGTTCATATGAACGGGTGAAGATTCACAGACCAACTACTGTAATATATATATATATGTATGATTATGATACTTATACCGCCTAACTACATGAAATGGTCACAAATCGGGTAAATGTATGTCTAACTCTTCCAGCCTCATGGACCGCGGCTCGCCGCAGCCCGCAGCGGCCTCCGTGCCGCACCTGCCAGGCGGGCCAGAGGCCAGCTGGACGTGGGGGAAGAGACGCCCAACGCCACGCCCAGCAACACACCCAACCGACGCGCCGGGAAAGCCCAGGGGATCCATCCGACGTCGATTTGAGGGGTCGATGGACGACACGGACCGGTGGATGGACGGAGGTCGTGTTGGTGTGTTTTTGCCGGTCGGCTCCTTCGGTGTGATTGAATGCGTCGGAACTCAGGGCCCCACATCACCGGGACGGGACAAGATTAATGTTTTTTTTTTTGCGGTTCTTTGGACAGGACAAGTCTGGAGAGGAACTGAGCCTTGATGTGCCCATTGTTTGTTCAGCAGGGTGCATCCAGCTGGCGCTGCTGTGTATAGAGTGCAAACACTCCGAGTTCGTGTGGTTGGGACCATGGCAGCTGTGATAGTACGTAGCCAGAAGCAGTAGCAGAAGCAGTAGCAGTAGTTATAGTCGCAGCAGTAGCAGTAGCAGTAGCAGTAGCAGTAGCAGTAGGAGTAGTAGTAGTAGTAGTAGTAGTTGTTGTTGTTGTTGTTGTTGGGTGCAAGTGAGTGAGTGAGTAAGTATACATAAGTCAATAAGTTATAAGTAACTGGGTTAGTTAACTATAGTGGGATGCAAATCTGATGAGCAGTTAGATTCATTCCATATATGGAGCGCTTTTAGCAGGTGATGTACCTGTTGATTTCCTGGTCCCAGAGTCCTTTTTGAGTCACTCTTGATTCATAACCTCCAAGGGCCCAGGCCTCAAGAGCTTTCTCAATTCGCATTTTTTGGAGGGTAGAAGAGTCATGAAGAGTCCACTAACCTCCCTGGTCTATGATCCGGGGTGTCCATCAACCCCCCCTGGTTTCCACATGTTTCCACTGCGCGTCCGAACTCCGAACTTGCCATTTTGGAGCTCCGACGTGAAGCCGCCGATGGATGCCGGTCAGGCTGAGGTTTGGGTTGAGGTTGTGGGGCACGCGTCGGGAGCCGAAGCAGTTTTCGACCGAACATGGGAGGTCAACCCTGGTAGGGTCCGGAGGTCAACCTCGCGCGAGGAGTTTGGGTCAATGACAGGCAAACGAAAAGACCTGAAAGGACATGCGCAGCAGCATACCAGAAGCTCATGCCCCCAAGAAACCATGGTGCGTTGCGCACGGGGCTGGAGTTCGTAGACAAGTGCAACCTCAAAACATCAACCCCTATGTGGTCGATCCGGGCCAGTTGGGCAGTAATGTCGTCTCTTGATTAATAAACCCCCCCCCCGGGGGCCCCCCCCCCCCTATCAACAATTGAGACTCCAGAACAATATGATAGAAAAACAATCAATTGATAAATAAATAAGGAATCCTTAGCTAGCTACCTCTGAAGCTACTCTGGCAATACTAAAATGAAAGGAATCATTACTTAGCTATCTCTGGCAATACTAAAAATGAATAGGAAAAAAGGGACTCATTACTTAAAATCATCAAATTCCATTGGAAATCTATAAGATTTCAATGGAATCTGCATCCAAAGACCTTCAAAATCATCAAATTCCAATGGAAATCT